TCCCACTGATAAGTCCTAGAACTAGTGCGATAAACTTCCTAAATCTCTGGACAAAATTGTGAGGGGTTACCATCCAAGCCTAAGAGCCTTTCTTGCCTGGGGTGGTATTTACTATTCTGTGCCATATCACTCTGATCTTAAATCTGAGGATAATACCGTTAAAGGTGACGGTTAACGGTAAAGCTTCCTCCCTATAGCTAGCACTTTAGTGCAAGTAATATTCCATGTCATGCAAGTTGGTTATAACTGTGAATCTGTGGGTGAAAATATCTTGGAATTGCAAATTGAAATGTTTTTGCACAAAACTACTGATTTTTGGACTGAGCCGCTAGAGATTAATGGAACGATCTTTGATGTTAAAAAAGTTGTTTGGCCCTTCCAAATCGTGATAGAAAATTTTTACCGAAATCATATTTTTAAGCTTTTCTTTCTTTCATGACCTCAACTTACCTTCAAATCAACAGCAATGGAGAGCCTCCACACTTTTTTCTTTAAAAAACTAACGACAAAAACGCACTGATACAGAATGTCACAGTTTAGTAAAATAACAACGGCTCGCTGAATGTGAGCTATACTAACGCTAATTTAGTTTCCTTTAACTAGAAAGATTACGATAGTACGAATTAAAAAAAAAACAACAATAACAATTTCTTTTGTTTAATTTTTTTATGTTTTTGTCCTTGGAAGAAGCTGGTAGATTAGAAAACGTGTGATGGCAATTATTACTCTTTTCACACCCTGTCGGTTTTTATTAACAAATATATATAATTTTTATGAGAGAGATTGGGCGAGTATTCAGTTTGTAAAGAATGCTTCATGGTCGCCTTAGTTTTTCTCAGTGAACCTTAACCAAAACTGGTGTCCAGGTGAAAGTGCATACAGGGCAAAGCTGCGATAAAATTACATGTTTCTTAAAAATGACTTAGCGCTCCTGACCAGCTTACCAAACAATTTAAGAGGGATACAACTGCCTCGTTGCAAGGTTATTTTTGATTCCTACCTCAATTAAGAATAATATTTTCTGTTGTTTTTCTTCCGCTGAGGTTTTCTGAACAATCTGAACATTTTACAGTCAAACCCCGCTTAACCCTTTAAGCCCCAATATCCACATACAAATTCTCCAAACTGATCTCCATATATTTTTTTTAAGAATTAGTTGAGAGAATTTGATAAAAGATCAAGGCATTTTCTCTTTGGTGATCATTTTATTAATTCTGGTAACTTTATCTCTTGACAATGTATGGACATCGGTAGGAGAAAATTGTTGTTGGTCACTATTGGGACTTAAATGGTTAATACGGACACCTGACCTCATTACTACGGACAGTTTTCTTTGTCCCTGGGGAAAAAACCCCGTACATTTTCTCTAAATTCAACCCTCTTAATACGGACATGGCAATTCTTTTGGAAAAGCAGAAACTTAAGTAATCAAGATAACCATGAAATGAAAATGAATGACAACAGACCAACCCAAAGAAACAAACTGGAACAAGCAAACTAAAACGATTTGAATGCAGCTTACCGAATCAGAGGTAGCCCGGCCAGGCTCACTCTGAGAGCCAGTGAGAAATATTGGCTTTTAGCGTATTATTTATTCAAATAATAATTTTTTTCAGGTAATTAGATTTTTTTGCCATATAAATAAGTTAACTGTACGTCTTGACCAGCGTCTTGATGATATTCGTATCGTACCTTAGCAGCAGATGTAGTTTTCGAGTAGTATGTAAGTAGTTATTGAGCAGTTATCCTCGCAAACAGGTGTGTGATGGCGGGGCAGGGGGGAGAGGGGAGGGTGGAGACGGCTAACTAGTTTTTTGTAGGTGTAGCTATAATCGATTTCTTGACAAATTAATCATGTTCAGGATTTTTATTCACCTCGAATTCAATTGCTTATACAGTATTTACTTTCCTACTTATTAAAATTAATTTTAACTGATTGTTCAACTTAATTCAAGTAAGTCTGACGGTGCGGTTTAGTTGGGCATATTTCATCGGCTTTTGGCTGAGCTTGTTAAACTGAAAGAAAAAAAATACAAATTAGTTCCACAGCATTACACCTTTTGCCTTTCAACACAGTACCAGGAAATAAATTTTATTGCATCAAAACTTTAGGCAAGAAAACTATTGAATGTGTATTTTTTTTCTCAGAAAAAATAGCGTTTAAAATTTCATGAGGTCAATATAGAGTTCTACAAAGAAAAGAACTTTAAAAATGCCAGTAAAGTCCGATTTGCTGAAAATACCAACTCACATGTAATTTATTCTTTTTTAAAAAAAGTTTTAAGCTAATAAACTAACATTTGCTGCATCTTAATCTTTCTTAACACTAATATATTATCGCTAATAACAGAGGTAATTCATATTAGACAATAACCTATATTGTTGCATTTTCGACGCCGGTTGTAGAGTTTTGGCTCAAAATGGTGTCGAGCATCTGTAAACAATTTATCCGTTTTCTATGTTGGCCTACTTCCTGACTGTGTGCAACATTTTCTTGTGTTACTGCTGTTGTTTTTAATTGCACACAATGACTAAATAACATAGAGGGAAGGCCTTTACGTCAGTCTGAAGAAGTTTTAAATGCTATGGTATGTCGCGCACGGAAAAGGCCAAAGCATACATGAAACGTAAGAAAACTATAAGGCTTTATAACTAGGCATGTTCTAAGACCCGGAAACTGAACACCCTGGCGCATTCTGGAACACCAGGAACACCCCGAGAACTGACCTGGAATTACTGATAAGATAAAATGAAAAATAACAATAGAAATCGTAACCCTGTTCTGTAAAATATTGATTATGCTTATGTTTGTTTTTATTCATTTTACATATTTCTAGTCGGTTCCGGCCGGGGTGTCCTGTGTCAGTTCCGGGTTTTAGCACATGCGTTTCAACTATCCACTATGGTTTTGTTAATGGAATGCTATACATACCCAGAGCTATTTGATAAACGTAGTTTTCAGTGGCGCCAGGGCCTGTGCACCATCCACTTGAATTTGAGCATGGAGTGGAGAGGTCCTGAGCGGCTGCTACGCAATAGTTCGATACGCCGTACTTGCCATATTGCATCGGGTTGCCGGGATTACTTACACACAAACCTGTATGTTGAAATTTTCACAAAGTAACGAATTTGTATAGGTAATAGCATGATTTGTAGTGATATTTGGAATAAATACCACGAGTGATATTTCGAAATTGTTATAAGGCGAGTGAAATTTGAGACAATTTTGAAATATTACGAGTGGTATTTATGCCAAGTATCACGTACAAACCATGCTATTATTTGTTTATACTACTACCCGCTAAAGGTTTGTAATTTTCACATGTAGGTATTTTAAATTAAGCTGAAATACCACTGCCCTAAGCCAATCAAATTGCAGAAATTTCTCATGTAGTAGTATAAGGGTTATTACCTAGCCTGTATAGCAGGCGCTGGTAATTTATTTTACGGGCCGTACGTCCAGGTTTTTCTTTCCTCGCCCTAAAAGAAACCGGCGCGTGCTATGTAGGCTAGTTATTACCGTAAGTTAATGGAACATAAAACATGGGAAAAGTAAAGGAGGAGTATTTATTGCGCGGGACACTCATCCACTCTTTTTACACCTGCCACTGACTCAGTGAATGTTACACCTAAAAATATAACACGTACCCTGTGAAGATTTTTGTCTTCATTTTCGTTCAGGGAGGTCGATTTTTTTTATAGAGGCCTAGCGGCAGAGGGAGCGTGAAGGTGAACTTGTGCACGCACCAAAAACATTTGTTGGGCAAGGTTTGTCATGGAAGCCGACTTATAGGGCTATTTGTTTCAAATTTAATTTACTTTGTCATCGATCTTCTATCTGGTTCATATAATTGCATTCAAGCTATTTCAGTATTTTATTCTTATCCGACATCACCCAACGGTTTCTAGCTGTGGTCTTGCTGCTCGGCTTTTCGGTATTTTGGTTTTTGTTGCTAATGCCAACTCAGTTTTTTTTTTTATAAGAAAGAAGCTAAGTTGAAAACTTTCAAACACTCATTTTCTAAAACTGGAGAAAAAGTATGGAACCTAATTCCAGATCATTTTACGTTTCTGGGAAACTGCCCACCTACCCCTCCCCTAAGCCAGCATTTTGCCCTACGTGAGAAGTAAGTGTTAATGTTGGCTTTGGGGAGGGGTAGGTAAGCAGTTTCCCGGAAACGTAAAATGATCCCTAATGTCTTCTGACTGGAGAGATAAGATGCCGAATCCATTTTTAAGAGAAAACCTCGTGTATTTCTGTACTCGTTTGGGTAGGGATGACAATGTTGAAGTTGCGACACTCTAATTCCAAAAAGACAAAACTTATAAACTCTTCAAAATTTATGTAACTTATTTAAAAAAATTCCCTTTTCTTAGCGAATAATTCTACACCGAGTTGGGCACTTTCCACTCCAAGATGGCTTCTCTACATAAAATTATTATAATTATTGTATAGTTTTTTCTTTCTTTTTCTCTTTGCCTCTCGCCTCGGTTAGCTTATTATAAGCTAACTGTGGGCTGCGTGAAATATTTCCTTTTTCCTTTTCCACCTACTTGTATTCCTTGTCGCTTTTTACCTGGTAGGGGAGTACTCGAGCAATATTTGGGTATAAGTTAGCCGCTGAGGGTTTCAAACCCTACCCTGTATAGGACAAAAAATACTAAAATATCCTGTTTAGGACAACACCCCTAATTTTATTTCCGGCTCTTTTTAGGACAAAGGACATAATGCACTCTGCCTAGTCTTAAAGTCATATTTTGGCAATTGCAATAGAGCAAATTCAAGTTATAGTCATTGCTTTTGTATACTTGGAGTACAAACAAATTCATTCAGCAAATCAAAATCAATCGTGCAGGCAACACCCTGTTTATAATTAGGACAGGCTCGTGCGAAATTATATATCCTCTTTAAAGGGCAGCAACAGACAAAAACCAAACCCAGTCCAGGGACACATCCCCGTATAGGCCATATAAGGGAGTATCCCCCACGGGGCTTTTGACTTACCAATTTCCCTTACTCCAAAATATTCCCATCTGTTTGACCTCGCCAGATGGGCGCACTTGCACAGGAACTTTTCAAAATCAGCAGCAAAATCATTACTCCACTGAACAAGACTGCCTCCAAAGTTTGGCCTTCCAGGGTCGGCTTCGTTGTAGAAAACTTTTTGGAGGGCAAAGCTGTTTGTATTTTCTTTGTAGCAACCAACTGGGGAGATATCTACTTCACATACCTCTTCCTGGTTTTCATTCAGGTCTGCCTCTGGTTCTTATGGCGAAAGTCAGAGAATTGATAAGATAGTCGTAACGATAAAGCAAAGAAATTGAGTATGGATACTGAGATAGATAAATGGATGGATGGACTGATTGATAAAAACATGTTTTTTACTAGTAGTAGTAGTAGTAGTAGTAGTAGTAGTAGTAGTAGTAGTAGTAGTAGTAGTAGTAGTAGTAGTAGTAGGAGGAGGAGGAGTAGGAGTAGGAGTAGGAGTAGGAGTAGGAGTAGGAGTAGCAGTAGCAGTAGCAGTAGCAGTAGCAGTAGCAGTAGCAGTAGCAGTAGCAGTAGCAGTAGCAGTAGTAGTAGTAGTAGTAGTAGTAGTAGTAGTAGTAGTAGTAGTAGTAGTAGTAGTAGTAGTAGTAGTAGTAGTAGTAGTAGTAGTAGTAGTAGTAGTAGTAGTAGTAGTAGTAGTAGTAGTAGTAGTAGTAGCAGTAGCAGTGGTGGTGGTTGTGGTGGTGGAAATCAAATATGATTTAAGGTTTAAAATCGAATATTTCTTACTCAATCTGTAGACAAAATTTGCGAAATTCATGCCAGAGCAGAACTTTCTGTATTGGTTGCAGGGTGCGTAACATTTGTCGATGCAATTTGAGCTACCACCATCTCGGAAGTACGTCAAATGCCCTTGTTGGCTGCTCCAACACTCTCCTGTAAGATAAACACATTTTACAGCTGTTTTAACTTACAAGTAGCCTCATAAATCTTTTCTAAGACTATAAAACTGACGCAAAAGAAGGAGAAATAATATTTACGAATGCCACCGATCTCTTCGGCGTAGTAAATCACCAAAAAGTAACATCAATACCCAGATTTTTGTGCTGTTCTTTGAACTCACAGGTGGGCCTAACAACGGATTTTCAAGTTTTGGCTGGAATCAGTTGGAAAAAGGGACCTTAAAACTGGTAAATTTGTTGAGCTTCAGATGCAGATATTCAAATTCCAGAGACGTACTTGCAAGCTCTCTTTCCTTTTCTCGCCCCGCCGCCAGAGTACCCCAGAGAGCTTGCTCGAAGATCATGTGCGTCACGGTGACAGTGACAATGAAAATGAAAATGGAAATGAAAATGAAGTGAATGATTTGTCAAAAACTAAAGAAGATACAGCTCCTCAAACTTGCGAAATTTTACGGACTTTTGTATGGTGGTCGGCAAGTTTGTGGGAGCAGTATATCTATCCTCATTGCCATTGGCATTGGTATATTGGAGGGCAAGTTTCTGGTAGCAGTATATCTGCGCTTGTTGGCCAATGGTAAATCAAATTACCGTAAAATTGCATGCCGAAAAAAGTGGCGTTGTCAGCTTTAGCTGCAGCAGCGCATCTACAGGCAAACTGGGGAACATACACATCCCAGTTTCTCCAGTCGATCATCTTTCCGCTCCAGTTCTGAATCGAAGCGTCACGATCGTTGAAGAGGTAGTCTCCCAGGGGTCTTTCGTTGCTTTTGTGGTAATCTGCGTAGCAGCCAACCTTTTCAAAAGAGATTCCAGGGCAACTAGTATCCACTGCAAACAAAGCGAAACATCAGTCATGAAATAATAATAAATAACAGTAATTCTGATGACGATTTGCGCACAGGCTGTCGAAACATACACTGTCACCAACCATGGGTACGTTTTACATCCACACTCTTTCGGTCACCTCGGTCGATTATATTCGGCCTATGTAATGTGTAGCATGATAAGATCATGGGAAGGTGCCCACCTACCCATTAGCTATAGACTGCGAGCAGTCTCTTATTCAAGTTCTTTTCAGTGAAAAAGTAGGGAGCGGAGAAGCTGGGAGCCGCGATAAACGAGGGTGTAAGTCCGTGCGATACCGGAGCTCCCTTCCCAATGTAACCGCTTTGCTTTCGGTTAAGCTTGGATGGGAATTAGAAAGATTTTAATAGTAAAGGCGGATAGCAAGCAGTCTATATATGACTCTCCCCTAACCCATCATTTTGCCTTCTGTAAGAGGTTTTTAATTATCAGACCTGAGAGTACCCCGAACATACAAACATACGGAACTGAAAAGTAAAACATACCAATTTGGAAGACCATATTGGAAAAATGCTTTCCGACACAGTAACGAGAATTTGCCGTGCATGGTTGATAGTCGTCTTCAATGCAGCCATCGTAATCCAGTCCGTATAGTGTATAATCATGTTGTCCACTGTGTCCTGCCCAGCACTCACCTGTTGTAGGATCAATTACGCTAGTCATAGACTGCAAAACAGTCCGTATTTTTGCGTATTTAAGTACGCGCGAACAGTCAAACAAAAGGTCTGGAATGAAGCTGAAAACAGAGAGCGAGACTGGGGAGAGACGCCAAAAATACGGACTGTCGGTTTTTTTTCTCTCGTCTAGCCAAACACGCCCTAGGGGCCTGTGAGGGTCGCGCGCTTCGCGCGCGTGAGACTCTTACCGATTTATTTACTGATTTTGAGGAAAAAACGACTGTTTTGCAGTCTACGCTAGTCATGAATACTGGTCACACATACGTATGTGACCCACTTTTTACATAGCTGGAATCTTTTCCAAAGCGTTCTTACTGGCTATGCTCGGGTCAGATGACTTCTAATGATAAAAGTGTTTTCCGCCAATAAAGTTTCTGAGCGAGCCCATTTCAAAATCAGCTGTGGACGTCAGAGGGTAACAGCGCGAATGTTGACCGCTCACTGAGATTTTCCATTCATAAATTTGTACACGTGGGCGATATATCCAATTAAAACTACTTGTTCCTTCCGAAAACAAAATTTTCAAACTGTTTCTGTGTGACCTGTCATCAAATAGGTATTTGCATGTAAAATGAAATTTTTAATTAAGAAAGGGATAAATTTGTTCCTTTTTGGGGGAGGGCGTGGGTAACATTTCGTAACATTTCCTTTCTTACCAAAGAATTGCGCACCAATAAGGTCATACCCAGCCAATTTAGCCTTTTCAGCACAGCGGCAAATGAATCCCGGAAAATACTCATTCCAGTTGAACCAGTCAATCATTCTGCCGCCGAAGTTTCTGATGGAAGGATCTCGTTCGTTGTAAATGTAATTAGGAAGTACACGCCCAGGCTGGGAATTACAGAAAGAAAAAAAAAACATAGCATACGGTCAACTCACGTCATAGAGGAAACCAGGAGCCTATGATGGGCTCCTGAGGAAACTTGGTGTCTTCTGGCATGGGCGACGTGTTGGTGTCAGCAAAAGAGGGTGGGAAAAAAAAATTCTTTGTACTAAAATTTTTTTTTTCATTAAAAAGAAGCAGCTGCGTCGCATCAACGTTAGCGAAGTAGCACACGAGACCTTGGTCCACACCACGAATGAAATTACAAAACACCATACAGGAAGAGGCTGGCTCACCGCTATAAAATCTCACTATGGACACTAGCAAGCGTTGAAGGGAGTCCATTCAACTGCACATTTTTAAGCATTTATAGATGTGGTAGGTCGTACCAAGTATTATACTTGCAGGGGTGCTCCTGGGAATTCGTGGTGGGGGTGTGTTCCCCCCGGTTGTTCTAATCCTGACCCTATTTCAGGCCAAAACACGCTATTTTCTATACCCCTTTTTAGACCTTGGCTGGATCGACAACCTAAAAAAATTGTTGACATTCAATTCGAATGATACATGTTATTAACCATTTCTTTCTTATTCATTCGGAGTTAAAACTACTAATACGATCATTATTCATTCGAAATATTTCGCCGTTTCTAGCGGGCTTAAAGCCCCCAGCTAATTCTTTATAATCAACCGGCATTTACCATATTCGGAAGATGGAGCAATATACAATTAAATCGATGGTATATTGCCTAGGCAATATGTCATCGATCAACGTTGTTTCAAGGCACGGCCACATAGCTATGGATACATATTTCTGTTAGTTTCTAGCCGCTATAATATTCCCTCCGAGATACTATTATTTATTTACTTGTTTTCATGCCAGTGGCCTGGTGCTGAAATACCGGACCAGTAATATTTACTATAGGATAACATACCTCCATATCCCTGAAGCATCCTTTTGTTTCCAGGTCAACGCTACAACTGCCTCGACAAAGATTAAGAGCTGAGGCGTAATAGTTTACCGTAAAACCTGGGAGAGAAAGTTTTATTCGTTATAAAAGTAAGAAGATATTCCGACCGGATAAGTTATGAATTATGCGAGAGAATTATTTACTTACTGTGCAGTGAGAGCCAGAATACTACAATCAACGAATTCATTTTCCTCTGTCCCGTTGCGGACTACCTAAGCAAAATAGAGGTTTGAGCTCAGACTTTCGAGATTGAAAAGCAACAAGTTTTAATGTAAAGGTTAGTAAAGGCAGTAGAGGCTCCCGTCAAAAAGGGGTACCTTTTCAGGCTTTAGGTATATCAAAAGGTAGGGATTTCACTAGTTAAGGTATATAAAATGGCATGGAAATTTGTCATTGCAGTCTGTGAAAGGACCTAAGAGGGCTAACAGACACATTTAATGGCTGTGAAAAACTTTCTGGTCTAGCAATTTAAGGTGGCTGAACACAGTTTTGCGGGCAGTCAGCGGTAACTCGCGTGACGGCGCGTGTTTTACTAGACAAATAAACATGGCGGGGAAAAAAGCAATGGTACACAGAAGACGATTTCTGAAAATCTACTCATCAAAATTTTGTGATATTTGGCAGAATTTTGGCTTTTATCGTATTCTAAATAATGAGAACTTTAAAATGAAAGTTGAGCAGACGAATTTTGTGATACATTTAATAATTACAATACAATTATATTATTGATTATCTGAAAACCCGTCTGTTAAAACTTGGTCAAATAAGTTTCAAATGGTAATGATTAATTATATTAAGCTGTGCGCAAGTTTATAGGAAAATCTAATGAGCGAATTTTATGTAAACTGAGCAAAATTGAAATTTTAAGGTTGTATTCAATCGTTCATGTTGCCATGGAAACTACGAAAACGTCACATTTTACCTCTCGATCAAAATCTTTCGTTAGTATATTTTTCACTTGCCAAGTTTCAGCTTGTGGGCTGCAACCTTTCTCTTGCCATGATTTGAAAAATGACATATACTCACAAACTGCCAAAACTGTGTCCAGCCACCTTAATCGTAAAAGACTGCATTTACAGCAGTTACTGAACTGAACTGAGCGTTCTAAGCTACAGTAGAAGCCCGGTAGTTCGAACTCTGAAGGGAAACGAAAAAGAGTTCGAGTTAGCTCGGGTTGGAGTTATCGGGGTCGATTGCTTTATTCACTTTTCCCAGTTAAAAACTGGTAGTTACTGATTTTTCAGCACTTTGTTTATGGTGCAGTGCAAATTTAACTTAAATCATCAGAAACAGTAACATGAATAGGCCTTTTTTTATGATAAAACGTGATCTGCTCGTTTCACAAATTAAAATCAAATTACTTTAGTGCTGACCAGTGTAAGTTTTAGTGTTTTTTCCCTTATACAACAAGAAGAGCTAATGGGATGGCATTCAAGTGGAATTAAAAGAACCAGAATTCGAGTTAGCGAGGAATTCGAGTTATCCGAGTTCGATTTAACCGAGTAAAAAATGACTGGAAAGTGGGGTGAAATCCAAGGGAATTGAACTTAGTTCGAATAAGGGGGAATTCTAGTTATCGGGCCTTTTACTGTAATATGTGTACGGAGTATCATTTGTCAATATAACTTAAAAATCTGGTACTCGAAAGGGGTACTTTTTCTGTCAAAAATGGCATAAAAGGATTAGCGGTTGCACCTCCGGGCGGAGCCTCCCCATATAAAATTTCGTTGGGTACCCCCAAGTCATGTCCACTGGATAGAGATTTAACCTGTGAATAGAACTATCCAACGCTTGAACAACTTGGGCCTGGACATGAATGGTTTAAGTATATTCAAAATGAAACAGAGATCCGACAGACTATGCAGTATGATGAAAATGGGCAATTGCCGTAATCAAAAGGAACATTCTTGTGGAAAAGCCTTTAAATGGTTTCCAAACCTGATTTCAGTATTAAATTTGAAAATCATGTTGTTAAAGAACATAAAAGAGGTCTAAGTTTCAACAAAGAGATTTAAGAGTAGGTTCAGTAAATAAGAAAAAAGCGTCTAAAAACGTACATCGTTAATGGGTCATATGAATTAGATCATGATCAGTTATTCGTGATGCACATGCTGTAAATGTGGGAAATACGATCGAGAAAGGCAGGTGAGTTACCTTAAAATTTCACCAAGGACAAGCGCTCGATGGGATATAGAGGGATTCTTCTGTGGAAGTGAAATTCAAGACAGAACTTTACCTTATATGAAATCTGTGGAAGGAAGGATGAAAAGGTTTAATTTCCTTAAAGAGATTTTTATCATCACATTTCCGAAATTTGATGTGGTTTTCAAAGGAATAATCTGAAAAAGCGCAGGGGATCATTTAACCAATTGAAAGCTTCGTTTTGTTTTATATATTATAAATGATGACTTAAATGCAAGTTAATATTTTTTTTGTTTAAATATAAGAAGAGCAATCGAGTCATAATTGCCAGTTTGAGCACCGTTTCCTGTTAGTTATCCTTATAAAATTGTTAAATATGATATCGACATTTGCTATTATATGTTTTCATTGTTACTTTTAAGCCCCCGAGTAACACGTTTTAATTGCTAAAATCATAACGTATTGCGAAGGTCGTTTTGTTGTATATTTGAGTTAAAATATAGTTATTATTGTCTTCACCCAATTCAGTTGCCCGAGAGAAATTTTTTTAGCTTCAAAATCTGGACATCAACAGAGAAAACCATTCACTAACAGGTCTGGTTAACTATTAGGTTTTAATCACTACTGAATGAAAAAGCCTAGCAATAAAAACCGCATTAAGATACTCTTACAATTAGAGCTTTGTGAGAACTGCCTTAAGTACCGAAAAATTTGAAAAAATGTGTTCATGAGTGGATTTTTCATCAAGAATTAAGGGAAAATAAATCTAGGAATTTAAAGAAGTACAATTAGTTTCAAGGAAATATTTCTTAACTCTGGAAACGGTGGAGGTTTGAATGTGATTATTTCAATTAACAAAGAGATGTTTGACTAGTGCGCCTTAAACAGTTGCTTTTAAAAAATCGCGATTTCGCAATATATTTTATTTCGAGGTTTAATCAGATTTCACCAAATTTATCTGACACAAAATGGAAAAAACTCATTTTCATATGTTTTGTTTCCCTGATTGCATATTTTGCAATTGGAGACCACTATTTCAAATTCCTGATGTTATCTATGGTATATCTATGCAATTCAAATTAAACTTGGAAAGGCACCAAAGATTTGCCAGTCAAAAGAGAACTTTAATTAGAGCAAGTACGGTATTCGCTTTTAAGCTAAACACTAAGTGAAAAGATAAGTAATTAAGGTAGACAGTACTGTCAATGTTTAGTCAACAGAGGTCAGATAGTTTGTTTGAAAATGACGTCTATTTTCCTTAATTTGTTTAACATTACTTTCTTTTTCGTCCATTTGGTACTCTTGTTTCATAAATCTTTCCTCAATGATCTATTTTCGGGAATAATGTCGTCCTCTTTCTGACGAATGGTCCCTTAATAATTAAACATTATCACGGTACTTTAATATAAACAATTGGCCCGTTTATTGTAAACTTTATAGGGTTTTATTAGCAATTAATGATACGAGACTATTTTCGTCACCAAGGCGTCGAGTCTTAAGGCTGCGAATGATCGTTATAGTCTAGGATTCTTTGGTCACGCGTAGTAGAAATTAATCTCGGGAAATTTATCTTATTTGTCAGGGACGCTCGTCGTCTTGTTTAGAGATGTTACTTGTAATTGCAGATTTTGGTCTTACTTATGGTGCTCAGGGTAGAAAGCCAATATCTTTACCCACACATAACAAGTATATCGTTTAAGGTTACGTTGTGCTAAAGGAATATCTATATACAAAACAAATGCCTTAGTTCATACTGTGTTGCCGAGAGTAAGGCCTCCTTTAGGGTAGCCTACGAGCAGGCTCTTCGGGGGCTCTGGCAGTGGGGCAAAAAAAGAGGGAGATTTAACAAAAAAATTCTCGCAAGCTTTACGGACGTGATCTTCACCGTCCGCCATTCATCAAAGTACGCGCAAAAGAACATTACGTCATGGCCTCATTTTTAAAATCAGCCAATCAGCATTTGGCATTCCATTTTGGCCCATTTTGTGACGTAGATGCTAAAATAAAAATGAAACACAAGTGTTAGCTCTTCTTCCCTTCTGTCCTCCCCCACTCTCGTACCCCCGAGAGAGCTTGCTGGCAGGCTACCTTCAGGAGTCAAATAGGGTCTAAGACTAAGACTCCCAGATTGGTCCCCAGCAAATTTGCTGGGGGCAAAAACGTTAATGAGCTATACATTCTTAGTGCAAAATTTGCGATTTTTCAAAGAGAATTTCTCCGAAACCATTTGGTATATCGGGCTTACATTTTCAGAGATAAATGAAATTTAATAATAATAGGCATATGTTAACGAGGCAAAAATGTTTCAAACAAGGATTCGCTGTACTAGACAGGTCGTTTGAACCCAACCATTTGTAATGAATTGATCAGTTTCGTAGCTATAAATTTGAAAAGCTCTATTTTCAGGAAGTGAATGACTAGAAGTCAGTCTTCGATAAAAAAATGGATGGCAGTGAAAAAAGAGAAATATCCTTCTATGATCATCTTTTTTTCCTTAATTGCTCCTAAAGTACGACATGTACAAACATATCGTTAAAATATACACACGGTCAGTATAATCAAATTCTATTTTTGAATGAAAGGTTTTGCACGCTATTTGCTTGAAAAGAACAAACGGGCTACGCCATTCAGTTCTTAAATCAATCACGGCAACACTTGCTATAGTATCTTCCATTATGTCACGACCCAATAGACTTTTACGTTTATCTGCCCTTCATTTCCCTAACTTTGATCCACTATTTCCTCTTTCTAACATTTCCACTGCCTTGGAGCAATGAGTTGGTAATTTCACTTCACGGCAAAGAAACATCATTCTCATCTTGCAATTAGATCTATCCCCAACCCCCACTCCCCCAAAAAGAAAGTCTCCGGTCCCTACTAAAAATATATTGCGCTGCTGAGCCACTAAACGTCTAGCTTTCTGGTTCTGGAAGACTCTTACCTCGACTGACAATCTAAGCTTACCTCACTTGTTCTTTAAAACTATTTAAACACATTATAATTCAGTGCTTGCATTCCAGATATTAGGTGAGAGCTGTGATTATTCATCTGTAAAAAACAAATATCAATCTTGGATTTGTTTTCTTTGTGCAAAAGACCATTGTAAAAGAGAACAGCAAAACCATGACTTCAAGAAGTAATGAGTTCAGCGCTTCAAAAAAGATGTGGACGCATGGGTCATGAAAAAAACAAAACTCTCAAAAACAACACTGAGCAAACTGATCTTCACGGCAGAAAAAAGATAAAACAAAATAACAATTCTTGAAGTTTTTTGTCTGATATTCCGTTTTGAAACGCAATCTCCTTTGAGTTGGAGCCTTATTAGTCGCAATCTCCTTTAAATAGGAGCCTTCGAATGTTTGCCTATCGGTCACAATTAGTTATCCTGTAATTTGTGCGTGTCCTCCAGCTGATATTTGCGAACAAGGGGAAAAGAATTTAACCGTTCCTTTCAGCAGAGGTTCGTGGGAAAGGGACGCGTGTCGAAGTCCTACAACCTCGTTCCAAGCGCTTTTCTCTTACAAGTTGGAAGCCTTGCGTCTCAGTCCCAAGATGGCGTCAAGGTTTTTTTTTTTGGAATGAAAACGTAAGGGCATTAAAAGACGCTTTAGAAAACCTAACCAAGCGAAAGAGCGCATCAAGAAGGATTCTAACAGGTATTTTGTCGGAAAATTCAAAATTTCTGAAGGCTTGGGAAATCATTAGAATATGGACAAAACGCGCGTGAAATTATTCCCTTAACTCGTCACTACTTGGTTACACATACTAATTTCTCGAAAAACTCCCAGCGATGCTCCCGGTTTTTACAGAGTCACTTTCGATCTTCCCACCGAAAACAGAGCAGATACCGACAATTAAAACTTCTCATTCTGCAAAAATTGCCAGAACCAACTTTTAGAGAGTTAATGCTAAAAAAGGCCTCCATAATCAACATTTATGATATATTTATGACCTTTCCATAATTTTCATGAAGTGCATCCTTAATAACATTGCTACTTGCCGGGAATATCTACTGATTTCATCTACTGATTTCTGCCAGGTGCAGGAGCTCCTGGCCAGTGGGTATGTTTGCACCTTAATTACTGATACAAACAATATATAGTCGTCAAGATAATTATGTACAGAAACAAATGCATAACTCTCACTGCTGTAGTTGGATAACAACAAATATATTTTCTCCAAAAAAAAAATTTTATTGTTTATTTTCACTAAAGAATTACTCGAGCCATGTCATCCACTCATTAATATCTGATACCCAGCTGTATCCTCACCTGATACAAATACAACTCTCACCCTGGCCAATCAGAAATTAAGCAAATGCCACGGCATATTAGCCTGCAGACATCCACTTTCACACCCATTTCTTTTGGACAATAATTACAAAGGTTGAATAGGGTGAATCCTAGACCTATACGCTGTGGCTACTATACCCTTTCTAAACGTTAAGCAAATAAATTCTCATCAATACCAGATATCGTCTCTTTCTTCTTAAAGCCAGGGGGGCTGGGTTCCAGTTTACTTCTACCAAGTGTTTGAATGCTAGTCGCTGTCGTCTACTTAGAAATTTCAGTAGTTTGAGACCGGACTAGAATTTTCATGTTAAATTACGAACTTCCTGAATCATCCGTGGTCCAGTTCTAATTGCAGGCTATTCTCGACGTCCAGTAGTCTACTTTATTTTCAAATTTTGTCCAGTTTTATTAGTGCTGTTGTTTTCAAAATAATACTACTAATAATAAAAATAATAATATAAAATCAGGAGCCCAAGAGCTCCTATAGTAATGATGATGATTATCGTGATCATTCCGACCCCTGTTTTTTTCCAAGAACCATTCTTGCATTTGTAGATAGGTTCCAAGTTGTCACTGCCAAAATACATTCGTAGCATTTCCCAAGAATTATTTGGACACGATGCCTGCAATCCCATGAAGCTACAGGGTCGAAATGGATAGAAATCATTCTTATCGTACTTCTTCAGCCTCTTCTGGGAAGGAGCTTCAACTACATCAGCTCTGTTGTAAAAGGGAAACACGTCAAGGAACTGTTTGCCTTTAATTAGTCTCGCCATGGGTTCTTCAAAAACACATCTGTCCTCCTCCTTTTCAATGGTTTCCTGAAGTAAAGAAGCGCAATGCCAGTTTCAGTCTGAATTAAAGCTGATTTTTTAAGTTTATTGATCAGGACTGTAATAATGAATTTATAAAAAGGACGGACAGTGTGGGTGGCGGGGGCGGGGGTGTGGAGAATGCAATACAGTTGGTAGTATTATAGGTCAAAGGGTAATGCTTTAAATAGGTCTAGAAGCACCATCCTTTCCCATTAAAAAGTTGGCGCCCTATTCCAACCAGCTGTCCAACGGCCATACTAAATAACGGCTTATTCCATGTTTCAGGAAAGACAATATGCTGGGCCGAGTTTTTTGAAGTTCGGTTAGTCCTAATCCTGGATTAACTACATACAGACCTATGAGTTGTCATGGCAACTGACCATGGATTACAGCCTGGCTGCATAGCTGGCGGGATAAGCGGGCGAGTGCTGTAGTAGTCATTTGTCGGCGGATTCGCGAGAAGATTAGGAGCAAGTCAAAGTTTCACGGCGGTCAAAGCTGTTATTCGGCTATTAACTGAGGAATTGACTGAGACAACTTGAATGAAACGAAGCCATGCTTTCTACTTTTAATCACACACAGACTCCTGGGAAGACTCCAAAAACTACTTCATGTAACATCTCCCCTTTTACAGTAATAAACGATCTTACTAAAAATCAGCGACTTGAATTTAGAAATTATCTGGCCTAAAACATGCACTTAAATGTCTTTCTGCTATATGTTGACTTGATCTTAGGAAGTAAAACTAAAACTCAACAAAGAACTAAAGTTAATGTCAAAGTTCAGTTCATAAATCGTCTATTAAACGTAGTCTGCGAATCTTGATGGGCGAACGCTGACTCTGCCACTTCTTGTAACGAGAGTCTCAGGTTGCTGCGATTTCCTTTCTTCTTTCGCTGTAGGTTCAGGGTGGACATCTGCTGGCTTTGGCAAAGGTGAGCTTTGCTTGGTGGAGCTGCTATCGGTGATGATGGGCTGCTGATGTCCTTGACTAGGGTCTTGGCGGATGAACTTCCGATTACGTCTGTATAGGTTTCCGTTCTCTGTTTCGATCAGGTACGAACGTGGGCCGACTTTTGCCACACACGAGCCTTTGTCCCATGGAGCTTTGGGGTTTACTGGCTGAAGACGTACTGGTTCTCCAATTTGAAGCTCGGGCAATGGTCTTGCGCTCTTGTCGTAAGCTGCTTTGGTCTGCTGCCTCTTACGTTTAATGTTGTCATGTACACCGTCGACAATTTCGGGTTTGAGTAACCCTTCAGCGGTGGGGATGGTGGTCCGAGTTCTTCTTGACATGAGCTTTTGAGTCGGACTTAAATTGTTAACGTCAGGCGTGTTTCGCCATTCCAACAGGGCCATTTGGAGATCTTTGTTTTCTCGCTTAGCCTTCTTAACCAGATTTTTGGCGATCTTAACGGCTGACTCTGCTTTGCCATTGCTCTGACTGTGGAGTGGCGAACTGGTTGTGTGCTGGAATTCCCATTCTCGTGTGAAAGCGGCGAACTGATCGCTTGAATATTGGGGACCATTGTCTGTAATCATGTCTGCAATACCATGCCGGGCAAAGTGTGACTTTGTTGCCTTGATCACAGACTCTGTAGTTGCATCTTGCAACAAATCTAGTTCAAAGTAATCACTGTAATAGTCAACAGTCACTAGGAAGGTCTCACTTCCATAGGTGAAGAGATCCTGACCAACCTTTGACCATGGGGTATCTGGAATCTTATGCGTCATTAACGGTTCCTTCTGTTGTCTGGCTAGAAAGTCATTGCAAACTTCACAGTTTTGAACTTGTTCCTTGATTTGGCCTGACATACTTGGCCAAAATAACACATCACGTGCTCGACGTACACAGGCATCAGGTCCTAAGTGACTGGAATGGACTCTGGCAATCATCTGAGGTCTCATGGAAATGGGAACAATGACCTTCATTCCTTTGTACAATACTCCGTCTTGCACTGTTAACTCTTCTTTGTAATTCCAATATTCTCGAATGCAAGGTGGAACATCTTCTTTGGAGACTGGCCATCCGGTAGTAACAGTGTTCATTAGAGTCTGCAAAGTGGGGTCTGCAAGAGTGCATTGCTTAATCTGCTGATGGGTACCCTCAGATAAGCGCATGTAATCAACTTGATTGATGCTGGCAATTTCTTCAAACAGCTGCTGTTCTTGCTTGAATTGGAAGATTTGGTACTCTGGTGTCCTCTTACACTGGGTGCGGTCAACTTGTAGGTAAGCTCTGCTAAGCATGTCCGCTATGTACATTTGGGAACCAGGAAGATACGTCACATTTAGATTGTACCTTTGCAGACGCAGGAGCATTCTCTGTAGCCTTTTAGGCGCTGAATGAATAGACTTCTGGAAAATGGGCACCAATGGCTTATGGTCTGTTTCTACAGTTGTAAGTTCTCTTCCGTGTAGGTACTGATTAAAACGACTGCAAGCAAAAACAATCGCCAAGCATTCCTTCTCTATTTGAGCATACTGGCGTTCAACAGTGCTCAACGACCGTGATGCAAATGCAACCGGCTGTCCTTCTTGGAGCAGGGTTGCTCCCAAACCAGACTCTGAGGCATCACATTGGATAGTGGTTTCACTGGCCACATCATAATACTTCAACAGGGGTGCAGAGCTGATCATGCTTTTGATTGCTTGGAAAGCTTCCTCCTGTGAACTGTCCCAAGTGAACATGACATTCTTCTCAGTTAACTTGCGTAGTGGTTCAGACACTTTTGAGAGCTGTGGCATGAACCTGGACAAATAATTAACACATCCCAGAAGACGTTGGACTGCTCTCTTATCATCTGGTCGAGGCATGCTTGCAATTGCTTCGACTTTCATGGGATCAGGCTTTAGTCCTTCTGACGTGAACAACTGTCCCATGTAAGTTACTTGGTCTAACTTCAACCTCAACTTGTTCTTGTTAAATTTCAGATTAACACTACGTGCACGCTTTAGCAAGTTCACTAAATTGCGATCGTGATCTGCTAAAGCTTCTTCCATAGATTCTCCACTGCCATAACATAAGATGTCATCTGCAATTACTTCTACTCCATTGAGGCCTGCGAGCGCTTCATTCTGGCGCCGTTGATATTCTTCTGGGGCGCTGCTGATTCCTTGTGGCATGCGAAGGTAGCGATATCTCCCAAAAGGGGTCCAGAATGTTGTAAGGAGTGAACTTTCATTGTCAAGCTTAACTTGATGGAATCCATCTTTGGCATCTAATACTGTAAATACTTTTGCTTTTGACAGCTTTGGTAGCACCTCGTCCACTGTCGGCATCTGATACTTTGGCCTCTTTATGGCTCTATTCAAATCACGCGGATCGATGCACACCCTCAGTTTCCCTGGCTTCTGCACAGCTACAAGACTACTGATCCATTCTGTTGGCTGAGTTTCCTTGACAATGATGCCTTGCTTTTCCATTTCATCAATCTTTTCTTTCAACTTTGATTTGAGTGGTACTGGTACACGTCGAGGAGCATGCTGCACTGGCTTAATGGCTGGATCTACTTCAATGTGATATTCTCCGGGCAGGCAACCAAGTCCTGTGAACACATCTTCATATTCCTTCAAAAGTTCCTCCATAGTGAGGGGTTCATATTGCTTGCTATTTAATGAGTGAACAGACGCTTCTGTTCCTAGGGATATCCAACCTTGGTCAACGCATGTTCTACCATCTATGATTGGCCAAGGTGCATTCTCCAAGATGTCAAATTTTATCTTGCATTTAGGGCCACTGTTTTGGCTGACTGAAAATGTGTACGAACCAAGTGGATTGACAACACTACCGTCATAAAGCCTTATCTTGCCTCCAGGTGGATCCAACTGAACTTCGCCAAGTTGCAAAATATTCAACAAATCTGCATAGGACATTGCACTGCAAGTTGCTCCAGTATCCAGCTGAGTTGTAACCGTAGGGCTGTACTCTGTGTGAAAGGTGAAGGGTACCATAAAGGAGGATCTGGTTTCATTGCTACTGACAACTCCAACGCGCTCTACAATAAAAATAGAATCATCTGATTCATCACTATCCTCTGCAAATCTCTGATGCGCTCCACTTGTTTGATGAACTTTCTTGTCTGGTTTACTTGGGGACTGCCTCTTTACATGACACTTCACGGCAAAGTGGCCTTGTTTACCACATTTGTGACAGGTTTTACCAGACGCAGGACATTTGGCTCTATCATATGGATGTTCGGTGCCACAAAACTTGCATAGACCAGATGGTTTTTCTTTTCCAGACTTGTTACGACCTCTCAAGTTTCCATTGCTACTACCACGATTTCCTTTCCTTTTCTCATTTGCTGAATGATGCTTTTCTGCTGCATGAACAGTGTTTGGCGAATCAACAGGGTCTTTAAACTGCTCTTTGTGAATCCTAGATAACTCGCTGGCTCGAAGAGCTTCAATACACCTGGCTAACCCCGGCACAGGGCGTTCTCGAAGTAGGCGGTCACGGGTGGAAGAGTCTCGAGTGCCAATGACCAATCTGTCACGAATTAAGCTCTCACAAAGATTCTCAAATTCACATGACTCAGCAAGCTGGCGCAATCTCACTACATACTGATCAATGCTTTCATTTTCAGCTTGATTGGCAAAACCAAATTTTACTCTTTCAAACAACAAATGTTTTTGAGGCATAAAATGGTCGCTTAAGGCAGAAAGAATCTTCTCTGGATCTTTCTTGTCAGATGCAGTTAGAGTAGTAAGGCTATTCATTACTTTCACACAGTCCATTCCCATAACACTGCATAAAGCCCCAGCCTGTACTTCTTTAGGTTTCTTGTTAAGTTCAGTGGCAGTGACATAATAACACCAAGCTTCTTTAAACATTTTCCAATTTGTTGATACATCATCCTTTACGTTCATGGGCGCTGGCGGTGGTATTTGATAAAATGGCATGTTGAAGAAAACGAATACTCACAGTTCTGGTGCTTTCTAGTTTCTTTCAGCTAAACAATATGGCGACGTCTCACCACGTGCACGACTCGCGAACAAGAAAATAATACCACAACAGCAACGACGGCTTCTCTGAAACGTTCCTCTTCTTCTTCTACCGCTTTAGAATTCTTGTTACTACGATTTTAACTTCTGACACCATGTTATTCGGCTATTAACTGAGGAATTGACTGAGACAACTTGAATGAAACGAAGCCATGCTTTCTACTTTTAATCACACACAGACTCCTGGGAAGACTCCAAAAACTACTTCATGTAACAAAAGCTAACCAACGTAAACGTACGATATTACACGCACAGTTAATTTTCTAAACAGGTGGTCCTGGTTCGATTCTCGGCTAAGGGAGTTTTTCCCTCTCTTTTGGTCGTTTGTTGTTTTTTTTTACCTAATTTTTTTGACCCGTTGATTTCTTTCCCTTTATTCATACTAGCCTTTACAACTACCCGCGCGAGGTGTTGCGATATACGTCAGTTGTAGCAATAATAATAATAATAATAATAATAATAATAATAATAATGATATAGAAATCAATGATGATGATGATCGTGATCATTCCGTTATCTCTATCTAGTTTCTTTTCTACTCTGTGTATTGTTTGCCTAGTCTCCTCAGTACTGGTAGTAGTAATAGTTTAAATGCCTCCTCTCGGATTTGCCTGCTGTAATGCATCCAAAACGCTCTTTTGCGACTACTCTTGAAGGGGCCAGCTCCAGCAGGCGACCAGCGTTGTGTAACCCAGTTTTAACTCTGACAAAACACTGTACTGAAAAACTCTAGTGAGCAACCATCCAGTTCTTTTTTATTACGACGGTGTGAAACCAAGTTCAAACTATAGCATGCCTGGTGGAATTTAAAGCTCTCGCCAAAGCGGCTGCTCCAGCAAGCATCCGCGACCACTTTTGTGCCAGTCGTACTCGGATCTGTTGTTCTAATACATACTGTTTAAAAGCGAGAACTTGTTTTCTTTGAATGGTGTTTATTAAGTAAATCCGGAAATTGTACACGTGACTGCGCGCGAAAACAAAATATTACTGTAAATGACCTAATAGGCGCCCACTCTCCAATAAACGCCTCTTGGCCAATAAAAGCCCCTCCCACGATGTCAAGTTTGTATTAGACGCCCCTCTATAATAAACGCCTCCTGTATAATAGGCGCCTCCCATGACAATTACTCCAAAATACTAGGAAATAGCAAAAAGGATCGAAATCATTCAAGTTGTTCAGTTGTTTGCTTGATTAACACAGTTTTGTGCATTGCATCATGTTCAATGTGAAGTTCGAAGAGGATAATGACATAAAATGATACTTCTAGGAGGTTTCACTGAAAGTGCGATATGGATCTTTAGATGGGCTAGACTGGATATTCTGCTATTTTGATATTTTTGCCGAAAGCATATTAGTTTTGTTGAGTTTGTTACAGCTATGAGAATAAACACCTCTCTCTTTCAAACGCCTCCAATCTATTAAACGCCCAATCTTGAACTTCTAACCTTAAATAAATGTCCCGGACGACTATTACATCATTTATAGGTATGACTCTTTCACTCTCCCGCCTTTGTTTCATGTCACACTTATCACGCGAAGTTGTATGGGAATCCCGCGCTAAATCAAAATTTATCTGATTAAAACTCTAGTAGAGAGGATAAGAGTAGTAAATGCTATAAGAGATATACCAACCCTCCCCCGGGGGGTACTCCCAACTTCGTCCCCAGATAGGGACGAGATTCGGGTACTTTCAATAATGGCCTATACGGGGAGGCTCCGCCCGAAAAGGGTAAGGGATTTTACTCGTTGGAGTATATGACAGGGTATGGAATTCTGTCATTTGGGTCTGTGAAAGGGCCCAAAGGGCTAGCAGATGAATTTTATGGCTTCATAAAGTCGGGAAAACGTTTTTGTGATTGTTTCCTATTTAAATGACGATGCATTTACCGGTAGATAAAAGGGATGCAAAAGTTCTAAACAAGGTATGTGAAAGGGGTACCATTTTCGGTAAGGGGTTGGACTTCGGGCCGTACAAAATTTGTTGAGTAACCCCGCCTCCCCTCCACTGGGATACCAACCTTTCCCTCGCAGTTAAACATCCTCCTCTTATCAATCGATATGTTTAAGGCAAATTCTGGCTGCACTACCAGCCGGATTTTTCCATCCGAAGGATTAAAATTTCTCTTTACTGACAGCCTTTCAAGGATCGAAAAATAACTGTGTTCGACGAGAACATCGATGTCTGAATCGTAGGGAATGACATCACCATCTCGCATCGCTCCTAGGAGACTACCACACGCCAAGACATACTTTATATTGTATTGTTTAGAAATCTGGATCCAGTGTCGAAAAAGTTCATAAAAATCCTTCTTCCAAGGATTATCAGGGCAGCCTAATTCACCATAAACTGATGAGTTTAATTTGCCCTGTATTGATGAATCCATCGCAGCGTTCGTGTAAGTTCTCGTACGCTTAAGCGACGAAGTTGAACTTGCTTTTATAGTCCCATTGAGTTTCAAGGTCTGTTTCGAGCTCCATCCGATGGTGTTTTGATTTTTAATGCCTCCTTGAGAAGAGTGCTCAATGTCTAAGCTTATAGCAGAGCTATTTGTCCTGTGATCTGATAGGTTGCTATTGCTGTCTCCTAAACGGTCGTTTTTCCAACTATGCCAACTGCTCGCCCTAAACGTATTAGGGTCCTTGGTCAACGTGGAGTCAGCCGTGTATGATACTAGCAGAAGCTTATAACAAAAACAGTATATCAATAGTGTAGTTAAAGTGAGTGATGCAAAAATAAAGTATGTTAACCACCTCGGTGAATCCCTGAGGCACATTTTACGGGATAGCAAAATCCACATAATTCACGTTCGTGGAGGTTTCACTGATAAGGTCAGATGCTTTCTTGCTTCGCCCTGAAACTAATGATACATTGGTTGTGATGGTGTGTTTCCCTCTTCTAAACTTCCCGCATCCAGCCGTTGCAAATCTTGAAGTTAAAATTAAATGGTGTGACCTGACATGAAAGACGGAGGCAAGGTTAAAAAAATATATAGGCAAAACAACAAACTAACACAGAACTCCTTTTTGAATAATTATAAACGCCATAATTATGTCTTGGCCAGTCTCAAGTCGCTACTAAAGAGATATTGTGCTGCTAAGCCACTAAACATCTAGCTTTCTCGTTCTGGTAGACTCTTACCTCGACTGACAAGCTAAGCTAGCCACCGAGCCGCCGAGCCAGTTAATTAAATGCTTCACTTTTTTTAAAAAACTATAAAACACATTATGATTCGGTGTGATTGCATTCCGGATATTAGGTGACAGCTGTGATTATTCATCTGTAAAATACAAATATCAATCTTAGATTTGTTTTCTCTGTGCAAAAGATCATTGTAAAAGAGAACAGCAAAACCTTGACTACAAGAACTAATGAGTGCTAAACAGTGCTTTAAAAAAAAATGTGGATGGGTTAAATAGAAAAATTCACGAAATGAACCCTTCACAGCAGAAAGAAGATAACTA